GTAGTGTGTGTGTGTGTGTGTGTGTGTGTGTGTGTGTGTGTGTGTGTGTGTGTGTGTGTGTGTGTGTGTGTGTGTGTGTGTGTGTGTGTGTGTGTGTGTGTGTGTTTTGCAGACAATGCTTCACCTTTGCTTCGACTGTCTCCTCCCCTCCCCCTCCCCCTCCCCCCACCAAGCCCTCATCATATCACACATACATATACACACATGTGCGCGTACAGGGGGTGTTTCTGGTTGAGCCGACAATGATGCTTGGCGGAAAGGAGGTGACGATTGCGCGGCTGGCGATCCAGACGGTGCTGCCAACATCCCTCGGCCCCTTTGAGGAGTGGTGGGAGCGTATCCTTGTCTCTGCCAAGACGGGTTTCAACACCATCCACTTCTGCCCGCTGCAGGTGCGCACAGCTGCGTGCGTGCGTGTGTGTGTATGTGTGCGTGTGCATGTGCGTGTGTGAACGGGTGTCACATGCCCGCTTATCCTGGTTTCCTTCTCTGATCAAACAAACACACACACATGTCAGGAGATGGGAGGCAGCCGCTCGCCGTACTCCATCCGCGATCAGACCAAACTCGAGCCCTCCATCTTTGGCAGCGACGCGGGAAAAGCAAAAGAAAACTTACGCGACTTTCTGTTGCGTGCAGGCAAACCCGAGAACAAGGGAGGCATGGGCCTCTTCTTCATCAGTAAGACACAGTGTGAATTTGTGTGTGTGTGTGTGTTCCGTGTGTGAGAGAGCGTGTTGTGTTCCGTGTGTGTGTGTGTGTGTGCGTGTTGTGTTCTGTGTATGTGTGTGTGTATTCTTACGTCTACTTGCGTCTACTTGCGTCTGCCTGCTCACGTGTCCAGTTCCACCACATCACGCTAACCTCCGCCTCCTCCTCTCGCATTCACCTCCATCCCTCCTCCCCGACACGCGCGCAGTTGATGCGGTGTACAACCACACGTCAAAGGACACACCCTGGCTGCTGGACCATCCCGAGGCATGCTACTCCCTCACCACCGCCCCGCACCTCCAGCCGGCGTTTGTCCTCGACCAGGGTGAGCACTGTCGTGGTGGTGGTGGTGGTGGTGGTGGTGGTGGTGGTGGTGGTTGCGTCTGTGTGTGTGTATGTGTGCGTGCGTGTGTGTCTGTGTGTGCGTGCGTGTGTATGTGTGTGTTTGACTGCGTTGCCACCCACTACACCACACCGAATCACACCCCCTCCCCAATTCCCGTCTCCTCCATCCCCCCTCCGTCCCCTCCCCCCTCTTCCTGCAGCCATCTGGCTGTTCTCCAAGCGCGTTGGTGCGGGCGCCATTGAGCACAAGGGGCGCACGGTCCCTGCGGATGTGAAGACGGAGGAGGACGTGCACTTTGTCCTCGATGCGTTCTTCGCACACACGCACGAGGTCACACACACACACACACACACACACACACACACACACACACACACACACCTGCACACGCACACACGCAGACGAGTTCACATACACACACACACGCACACACACACACACACACACACGCACACACACACACACACCACACACACACATTCATGCACGCACGTGAAAAGGAGGCGGTGATGTTTGCTTTGATGACATGTGCAAGTGATAATGCGTGTGCGTACACGGCTGCGCTGATGGCATTGCTCTTGATTCACCTGTACCACCACCATCACCGACCACCTTGACCACTAATATCACAACCAACCACCATCACAATCACAACCACCCCTGTGACAGGCGCTGAAGCTGTGGGAGTTCTTCGTTGTCGATGTTGACGCGGCAATTGCGGATATGAAGACGGCGTTTGCCCGCGCAAAGCCAGACTCCACAGGCCAGGTCTGCCTCGTGTGTGTGTGCGTGTGTGTGTGTGTGTGTGCGTGTGCGTGAGTGTGTGCGCGTGTGTGTGCGTGTGTGCGCGTGTGAGCGTGTGTGTGCACGTCATACACATGTTTGTCTGCCTTCTTACGCCCCAATCACTGTGCTTTTCCGCCCATTTCCTGAGCCACATCATATACCATGGCCACCCTACCGTCCCATATCCCCCCTCACACCTGCACGACGTCGCCAGCCTCTTGATGAATCACTCGTGCACACACGAACGGGCGGCGGACGATTTTCCGCTCGCATCCGCGCGGACACATGTGCCGCTGTGCTGAAGGGCCTGGGATTCCGTGACCAGGACAAGTAGGCTGCATTTGTTGTGTGTGTTATGTGTTGTGTTTGCTGTTGTTGTTGTGTGTGTGTTTGTGTTATGTGTGTGTGTGCTGTTGCATGTGTGTTATGTGTGTGACGTGTGCTGTTGTGTTGTGGGTCATCACTTCTTTCCGCTTTTTACATCTTGTGTCACATGCTTCTGCGTGTGTGTTTGCATGCATGCAAACTTGAGTGTAACCATACCCTCCCCCACGCACACGCACACACACATGTATACACACGTGCTCACTCTCAACCTCCATGCGCGTGCCGTTTTGTGTTTCGCAGGGCCGCGAAAGAGCTCAAGTCGTTCCTGGAAGAGTACAACTTGAAGCTCTACAAGCAGTGAGTGGAGACACAACTCCAGACACAACATAGCTACACACACACACACACACACACACACACACACACACACACACACACACACACACACACAAACAAACACGTGCACATTTACACGCGTGCTCACTTCTTCCCCCCCCCCCGTTTTCATGTTTCTCGCACCACCGCGTTAGGCTGGATGAGGACATGGCTGCGGCGCGAACGGCAATGAAGCACACGATTGTGTGGGAGCGCGTGAACCCTCGTGGACCTCAGAAGGGGCGGATCACCGCCCAGGAGCCGCTCGTGTACCTCTACTTTGCAAACGTCAGCAAGGACAGGCAGGACGAGTGGTCCGATTTCGCCACGGTGAGGGCTGCTTGGGCTTGAAGGGGAGGATGATTTGATTTGCGGTGACGCAGACATGCGCGCATTTGTGTGTGTGTGTGTGTGTGTGTGATGGAGAGATAGCATGTGTTTGAGTGTGTGATTGAGGTTGTGTCTCATAAGACAGAGCATTCGAGTAACTCCTGCGTTAAGTGCCGTCCACGCTGTTCTTACGCCCGTCCGCTGCCGTGCTGCCATTGGCTGTGTTGGCGCTTTCATTCATTAGTGTCCGCTGACGACGGTTGATCCCAAGTATATCCTCGCCTGCAACGGTGAACACACACATACACATGTGCACATGCACATGCGCACATGCACAATGACAGGCACACATGCAAACACACACACACACACACACACACACACACACACACACACACACACACACACACACACACACACAAAAGCAGACAAACAAACGCGCACAAAGCTCTTGCTCAACTGACATGTCGCTTTGCTGCTGTCCGGGTTTTGTGTTGCGTCAGGGTGGGTGTGGAACATGGATCCAGCGAAAGATTTCGTGAGCAAGGAGAAGCGGAGCTATCTTCGCCGCGAAGTTATCATCTGGGGAGACAGGTCCGTTTGCACACGTGCACATCGTACCTGTACGCGCTGGATGTTTGGTTTCGTGCGTGCGTGTGCTTGTGCATGTGCATGCGAGTTTGTGCATGTGCATGCAAGGTTGTGATTGTGTGTGTATGTTTGTGTGTGTGTGTCTGCGTGAGCACGTGTCTTCTCCTCTTGATTGCATGGAGCCTCATACACCCTTACCACCACATCCAACCAAACCAAACAACACCCTCCATCACCACCGCCATCATGGCGCAGCGTGAAGCTCCGATACGGTGACAGCCCCGATGACAATCCCTGGCTCTGGAACCATATGTGCTCATACACGCGCGAGTACGTCCGTCCACACAAATGCACACACGGGAAGGAGAGTGTGGGTTGTGTGTGTGTCGGTGTGTGTGTGTGTCGGTGTGTGTCGGTGTGTGTGTGTGTGTGTGTGTGTGTGTGTGTGTGGGTGTGGGTGTGTCGGTGTGTCGGTGTGCGTGTGCAGGCGTCACAATTGAACTCCCTTTTTCCTTCACCAAACCACACGCACATTCCGTTTTTGACCTCCTTCCCTGCACGTTTGTGTGTGTGTTTGTGTGTGTGTGTGTGTGTGTGTGTGTGTGTGTGTGTGTGTGTGTGTGTGCAGGCTTGCTTCGATGTTTGGAGGGCTTCGCATCGACAACTGCCACTCCACGCCTAAACATGTTGGACAGGCAATGATGGACGCTGCTCGCGCCGTCAACCCAGACATTCTCGTGGTGCGTATTTTCACCCCGCCAACGCAATGCGTTGCGTTGCTTTGTTTGTTTGTTTGTTTGTTTGTTTGTTTGTTTGTTTGTTTGTTTGTTTGTTTGTTTGTTTGTTTGCTTGTTTGCTTGCTTGGTTTCTGCCTTGTGTGCACGTGCAAGGATAGTTTACATCGTCCCCACGACCACCATGAACGTCTTCGCGACTGCACCTGCCTGTGTTTAGTTGGCTGAGCTGTTCACGCAGAGCGAGGAGACGGACATTGAGTACACAAACACTCTCGGCATCACGAGCTTGCTGCTCGAGGTGCACATTTTGCGTTTGCTTATGTATGCGTATGCGTGTGTGCATGCGTGCGTGTGTGTGCACTTTTGTCGCTCCCTCTGCGTCTTATCTTGTCGTCCTCTAACAACGCATTCACACACACACGCACACGCGTTCACACATACGCTCGCAACCCTCTCCCCCCTTCTTTTGCTCACCATCACCATCACCTCCTCACTCTCTCACTGCATCCCCTTCCCCCAACGCCCCACTGATCCAATGATCCAATGCTCCAATGCTCCAATGGTCCAAGTGCATGTCCACCCACTCTGCTGGCGACTACAGCGCAATGCTGCACCGTTACGGCGGTGTACCCGTTGGATCATTCTCTGCCCTTCCCCATCGCCCGCTTCCACTCGTGCACACGCACCCGCGCGCAACGCTCCTCGCCGCCTCCCACGACAACGAATTCCCGGCAACAAAGGTGTGGCGGAGCGAGTGCGATGTTTGTGTGTGTATGTGTGTTTGTTTGTGTGTGTGTGTGTGTTTGTTTGTTTGTTTGTTTGTTTGTTTGTTTGTTTGTTTGTTTGTTTGTGTGTGTGTTTGTGTGTGTGTTTGTTTGTGTGTGTGTGTTTGTTTGTTTGTTTGTTTGTTTGTTTGTTTGTTTGTTGTTTGTTTGTGTTTCTTTCTTTGTGTGTGTGTTTGTTTGTTTGTTTGTTTGTTTGTGTGTGTGTGTTTGTGTGTGTGTTTGTTTGTGTGTGTGTGTTTGTTTGTTTGTTTGTTTGTTTGTTTGTTTGTTTGTTGTTTGTTTGTGTTTCTTTCTTTGTGTGTGTGTTTGTTTGTTTGTTCAACAGTCTGCCGCTGATTGCATTGGCGGCGATGATTCATAACGGCATCGGCAGCACCCGCTGCTTTGAAGAGCTCCTCCAGCAAAACGTACGAATGCCTGCAGGCACACCCACATTGTTGGCGTTGTTTGAGTGTGTGTGTGTGTGTTTGAGTGTGTGTTTGCGGGCGTACGTGTGTGTGCGTGCGCGTGGGTGTACACGTGTTTAGAACGTTTACGTTCTCCCCTTGCTACAATGACTGCGTGATATGGCATGGCCACTTCCACTTGCACATTCACCGCTTGACGTGCCCACAACCACAACTATCTTCATCGCCATTACCATCATCATCATCATCACCACCCCTTGCAGTTGGCCGTTGTCAACGAGAAGCGCAAGTATCGTCCGTGGGTGGAGGACGCAGGCAAAGGTAAGAGCACACACACGCCAACGGTTTGCTTGCAGGCAACACCGCAACCCCTTGAAGAGAGCATGTTATGGCTATTACCTAGTGCTCTCACTCAGCGAGACACATGCACACACACATGCACATAAACACACACATGCACACACACACGCACACACACACACGCACACACACACACACACACACACACACACACACACACACACACACACACACACACACACACACACACACACACACACACACACACACACACGCGCGCGCGCGCGCGCGCGCATACAACCATCACCACCACCGCCGCCGCCACACGTGACGATGCTGTTGCGTTTCAGATTCGCTGGAGGGCGTGAGCGACCGGACCGGTATCATCGCCGCTGTCAGGTGCTGTTCCATGATGATGGCGATGGTGGTGGCGGTGGTGATGGTGGTGATATGGGCCCTCGGGTCAACACACATACGCACACTCTTTCAACCCAGCCGACCCACAAACACACACACACCCGCACACACGCACACACACGCACACACGCACACACGCACACACGCACACACACGCACGCACACGCACACACGCACACACGCACGCACCCAACACGCTCATTCGTTGCACTTCCACACCATCACCCCCCTCCCCTTCATCTCTCCCCTTGACTCGTCGGCTTGCGACAGGCGCATGAACACGATCCACCGACAGCTGGCTGCAAAGGGCTTCACAGAGATCTACATCGACCACATTGACGCCCACTGCGTGTCCGCCACGCGCAGAAACCCGGACACACTGGAAGAAGTGACCACCTTTGCGTACATGGTGCGATGGCGAATGAGCTCTTGTGATTGTGTGAAACTGAAGCGCACACGCAAGTTGATGCATTGACTCGTGTCTCTCTCTCTCTCTCTCTACACACACACACACACACACACACACACACACACACACACACACACACACACACACACACACACACACACAAACACACACACACCCTGCCTCTCTGTGTTAACTCCTGTCCGTGCATCAGGTGTACCGGGGCCACGACATTTCGACTGGAGAGAAGACGATTGGACCGTTCAAGCGCTCGGGCGAAATCTCGCGCGTGCTCCTCAACGCATTTCCAAACGCATACCACGGTGGGACAGTTGGAGGTGATAGTGTTGTGATGGAGACGGGAGGAAGGGAGGGGGAGGTGGGCAATTGGAGGTGGCTGGGGTTTTGGGGGATGCGCATATGTGCACCGTTTATGGTGTGATGTTCGCGTGACCTTTTGATTCCAAGGTTTGGTGCTGTTGTTGTGTTCACCCCATGTTTCAATTGAATCCTTATGCCCGTGTGTCATCCCTCTGCACATACCTTCCTCCTCTCGAAACGCAACCCCCCACCCCTTTCTCTCTAAATGCAACACCCCACTCCCCTCTCTCACCACCCTCCTGCTCTCCACCACCGCCAGTCGAGTATACGCGGTGCGAGCGCGCTGCTGTTGGCGGAACGGTCTCGTATTCCATCAGGGAGGACGTCGATCCCGCTGCCGTCAAATCGCTCCTCATCGGCGGTGGTGGCGCTGGTCAGTACATGGGCGCTTGCAACACATTCGTGTGGATGCGTGTGTATGTGTGGGAGAGAGAGACAGTGTGTGTGTGTGAGTGAGTGAGTGTGTGTGACTGCGTGTATGCATCTGTGTGCGTTCGTGTATGTGTGTGCGAGAGAGAGTGTGTGTGTGTTTGTGAACTTGGGTCATCACTGCCAATGTCCATTACATCACCACCTCCCCACGGCCACGTTACCAACCACTCACCATTCACCATTCACCAATCGCCCATCGTCAGACCTGTGGTACCGGCTGCGCATGCGACCAGGCGAGGTGATCTGCTTTGAGGTGACGCCGGACAAGTCTGCACTCGACCACCACACCGCTGTCGCCCGCGCCATCCGCACTTTTGGTCGGCCCAACGCTGGTGATCATGATGAGGGTGGGGGGGGGGTTGCAATGGTGGTATTGTGTGTGTGTGTGTTTATATGTGTGGTACGTGCTGTGTAGGCACTGATGCTGTAGCTGTCAAGTTTTCATGCGCACATGAATCAAACATACAAACACACACATTCACCCGCATTCATTCACACACACACATTCACACATTCGCACCCTTCCCCCAGGCGATGACCATGCTGGGGCGCTGGCGGCGATGACAGCGGTGGATATGAACCACGCCCTCTTTCGCTGCATCCGCGAGAACGAGACCGCTGCATACCGGTGAGGCGCAAGGGGGGGGGATGTGTGAGTGCAACTGTGCGAGAGAGAGAGAGAGAGAGTGTGTGTGTGTGTGTGTACGTGTGTGTGTGCGTGTGTGTGTGTGTGTGTGTGTGTGTGCGTGCGTGCGTGTGTGTGTGTCCCCTGTTCCCTTGCACGCGAATGCCACATGACTATTAGCCCCCCAACCTCTTGCAACATGTCCTTCCTCCCAATTCACCACCACTACCACAACCACCGTACCTCTTCCCCTCCACACACACCCACACACGCACACACACACACACACCCACACACGCACACACACACACACACACACACACACACACACACACACACGCACACGTGCCTCTCTCTCTCTCTCTGCAGGGGCGATGGGGTGTATGACGTACCTGGGTACGGGCCCCTCAAGTATGCGGGCATTGCCGGCGTCGTTCCGCTCATCGAAACCGTCGTGTCCCAGAACGATCTTGGCCACGCGCTGTGCAACAACGTGCGCGCGGGCGACTGGCTGCTCGGGTACATCGCCGCACACATGCACAAGTACGTCGTCGCGGTGGTGCTGGTGCTGGTGCTGGTGCTGGTGATGCTTTTGTGTGTTGGTGTGTGTGTGTGTGTGTGTGTTGGTGTGTGTTGGTGTGTGTGTGTGTTGGTGGCGTTTAAGTGGTGGTTGTAGAAGAGGCATGAGAGCGATCGGGATGGATAAGATGACAGTGATAGGCTGCGCGTGCCAGTGTCGACGCACCTTCCATCCATTGTTTTCGACCGACCAAATCACCAACCATCCACGTATTCATCCAACCGCCCCCCCCCATGCAATTACACACTGCGTCGCCATCGGCAGGCGCGCCGGGACGCGATTTCTCGGCGAGGCACTGGACGGTATCATCGCCCGCTACAAACACATCCCAACAAACGCAAAGCCGGAGGTCTTTGCACAGGTGCGTGGACGTATCATGTGTGATTTGTGTGTGTGTATGTTTAACTTGGGGTCGTCCATGTACAGTTAACGCCATCGCACGTACACACAACTGCACACATCTGCACGCATACACACGTGTCCACACACGCTACCCTCTTTCACTGGTTGCCCCTCACATACACACATACACACGTGTGCGCACGCATACACACACATGCGCAAGTACAGATTGTGTCCCACGTGTACAGCGCGCTGCGGCGGACAGCAGTGAAGCGGCTGCTGGACACGACGACGCTGACAGAGGGATTTGGTCGCGATCTCGCTGTTGCCGCACTGCAGTTTTACGGCACCGATGCAGCGTTTCTCATGCCAGAGGGTGAGAACAGCACTCGTGGTGGTGGTGATGATGATGATGATGATGATGATGATGATGGTGATGGTGATGGTGGTGGTGGTGGTGGTAAAGATGGCGTTTCTGCTCGTGTTTTGGTCCTGGTGGTGTTGATGAATTTCGTGGCTGCTGCATCTGTGCGTGTGATGCATGGGTGACACCAACACTTCAAGCGGTCTGTCATGCACCAATATCTGCCTGTTCAACCTCGTTCACACGTCTACACACACACACACACACACACACACACACACACACACACACACACACACACACACACACACGCACATCTGCAGGTGGTGAGGTTGTTTCTATGAGTGCAGGGCTTCCGCACTTTGCTGCCGGCTGGATGCGATGCTGGGGCAGGTCCGCACATGCACGCACATGCACGCACTCACACACACGCGCACAAACTTGTGTTCATGTGCACATGCATCGACGCATCCACGACAACGTACATGCAAGCAAACACACGCACATATACACATGTGTGTGTGTGTGTGTGTAGTTGACTGCTAACACGGCAATGCCATCGCCACCACTGTGTAGGGACACGTTCCTCGCACTGCGCGGATGTCTGCTCATCCCAAAACTCTTTGACGAGGCGAAGCACCTCATACTCGCCTTTGCTCGCGGTGAGAAAACAAGAGAGAGTGTGCGCGCGCGTGTGTGCGTGTGTGGTGTGCGTGTGTGGTGTGTGTGTGCGTGCTTGTTTTGACTTGGCGTGGATGGTAGCACCTCGCGTCACATGTCTAATCATCTGCTCCACTTCCAACCCCCTCCCCTTCGGTTCAACCGCGTGCGGGTGTGAGTGCAGTTGTGCGGCACGGGCTGGTGCCGAATCTGTTTGACAACGGCAACAACCCGCGCTACAACTGCCGGGACGCAACCTGGTTCTTCCTGCAGAGCATCAAGGTGTGCAGATTGGGACGTTGTTGTTGTTGTTGTTGTTGTTGTTGTTGTTGTTGTTGTTGTTGTTGTTGTTGTTGTTGTTGTTGTTGTTGTTGTTGTTGTTGTTGTTGTTGTTGTTGTTGTTGTTGTTGTTGTTGTTGTTGTTGTTGTTGTTGTTGTTGTTG